CTGCTGATGTGATGCCAAATAAAATGGCTTTGCAAGAGACCTAGATTTGGCTGATGCATTTCTGTCACTCTTTACCACCATGATTTACTGTGATGTACGAGAGAGAGACTGCTGCTGTCCAAGGCTGCTAAATCAACAGAACAAATGTCACAAAACAGAAATCTTCAGGGTAAGGACCAGCTTAAAGTAAGAATATGATTCTGAAAAAGGCCAATGAGAGTAAAACTTCTAGTTCTGTGGGTAGTGCTGATCTGCTAAGTAGAAGAATGTATCATTTAGATATGCTTTTGAAGATCCTGGAAGAGAAACATGGGGGGAAATCCTGGACTTTTCTGAAGTAAACACCAAAATTCCCATTTGTTAAACCAGGACTTAGTTCCTTGATTGAAGCAGATATCACTTTTGAAGCTGGGACAGCAGATGGTTGAGCCAGGATTTGGGACACAGATTTCAGGAATGTAGGTAGGATTCAGAAAACACCGGCAGTTAGAAATGGAACTAATAACTGAGCTGGCAGATATGAAACTCCTGAGATATATCATGTCATTTCAAAATTGAACATCATAACTATCATCTTTCTAAATATGATTTTTTTAGTTCTTCAGTAGAATACAAATTTCATATAAACACATTTATTACAACATCATAGAAAGAACTAATGACCTGTTAAGATAGCTATTATGAAAATAATGGAGTTCAGAAGATATTTCCAAGTACTTAATATGCCTAGAATAAAAACATTAGTTTGACTTTATCTGAAACTCATTTCTGTATGCCTAACTGTATTGTCACATAATACACAATATATTAAATTAGTATAGGAAAAACTCATAAATAAGGCCATTACATAAATTTTGTTAATATGATAAATATTAAAACACTATTAATGTGCAACAATTTGCTATAAAATGGCATTTAGGGAAATAAAAATGGGTTAGCAAAATAGCCATCAAAAATTACTGGAAAACGTAACTAAAAACTTCATATCACTTAAGAAATAAATAACTACATAGCTTTCCATGTTAAATTTAGAATTAGGAAATGCTTTCAGTCAAAAAAGGAAAAAATCTGTCTATTTCTTGGTGGGAAAAACTGTTTCACACACACGCTATTTATAGTGACAGCATTGCCTTCAGCACCATTCATATGTGACAAATACGAGCGCTGAGCAGAATTAGAATATATAATAAGAGCAGGTCAAGATCTATGAAATAATCTACAGTTTACAGGGTAAAAAAAGAAATCTGGATAAGAGAAAAAAATGGGTTTATGGTATTTTCATGAGCAAACAATATATTTTTTTTGTTCTGTTCTTGTTAAATTAGTGAAAGTTGCTTGATGTTCAGTATCTGGAAAAATTAGGCAATTTAACCATCTTCCTAAAGTTGCCTAATCTCAAGTCCTTGATTTTTGTTTGAACCTTGGTCATTGTACTTTCGAGTTGAGACAGTTTGAATGGGGATAAAGGGAAAGATTTACAAAATCTCTCATTGATAACCCACACCAATCTTACTATATTTTTCCCAAATTCATTGGATAAAAAAAAAAAAAAAGCTTAAAATTGAACCAAAAGATAAAAAAGATTTTATACAATGGGAGAGCAAGACTTTTCTTTGCATACAGCAGTATTTCCAAACAAAAAGTGGGATAACAAGAGTGATCACAAAGAGGAACTTTCCTGTGTCATAATCACTCATGTTTCAGTCATCTCTTCCTCTGTTCCAGAGTTTATTGAATTCTTAGATTTTTAATTTTTCTGTCTGCTTTCTTTCCAGTAGATACTTCTGTTATAATGGGGACTGTATATATTAAAAATCGCTGAAGAGAAATCAAAACATTCAACTTTCATTAGATAATACATACATTTGACTAAGCAGAAATTCTTTAAAAGGTGCACTAGAAGTTGACAGTAAAGAACGCTCTATTTCTATTGAATATTTCTTCTTTGTTATAAAAAGGAAAGTTTACATGTATTGAAGTCCGATTTCACCTTGAGAGGCAGATGGGTTACTATCTCATCCAGATGTACATACCGAGTCTCTTGATCGTCATTCTCTCCTGGGTGTCATTTTGGATCAATATGGATGCAGCTCCAGCCAGAGTGGCTTTAGGAATAACAACTGTACTGACCATGACAACACAAAGCTCAGGTTCACGAGCGTCTCTTCCAAAGGTAGGCAGAATTTTCTTTGTTTGTACTGCATTAGTCATAATGCTATGTGGCAAATAAACGTCAGTCAACCTTACAATATGTGTTTTAATTAGGAGCATTTAAGCATCTTCTAAAGGAGATAAATAGCTTTGAAATATTATGGGGGGTTTTGAGCTATCAATCAAATATATTCTGTTTCTCTCCTGTCTCATCTATTTAGCCAACCACATATCTACTGAATTCCATGAACCTCAGCTGGTGATGAAAGCAATATTTTTCAGTACTACATAAATGCTGCTTGTTAGGAATTGACTAGCTTGTCCTTTTCCAGATTCCAGCATCTGATGACATGCCAGCAAATATGACTGAATTTCTAAAGGTCATGGATTCCAACCTGTTCTCAATCACATCCCTTTAAAAACCTGCCTAGATTATGAATTAACTCACTAGTTACAAACACATTTACATTAAGATGCAGAAAAATATGAAGCTAAATAGTTCCAAACAATAGTATAAAGAATGTGTCACTACGCAACGTAAATAGCTTAAAGTATATTTCTATGATTAACTATTTAAGTTTTCTGACTTGTCATTGCTTTAAAGATTTTCTTTTTAATTTTAAAGCTTATTCATTGACCATCTTCAGGTGTCATTGCCGTTAATAGAAATAAAATATATACAACAAAAATACACAAAGTCTACTTCTGTATTAGTTTTAACATCATACTTTTAGGTTTGCTAATTAATATTTTATCTAAGTAGAATAGATACCCTAAACAGAGGCGAGTGCGCTTTGCACCTCGAGTATGTGGATCTAAATGCAGCTGAATGTAACACTGACAGATCAGAAAACGCAATGCCATAAATGCTCCAAAAAGCAAGAATGTAAGAGGTTATCAGAGAGAGCTACAGATGTGTTTGTCACTTTTCTGAGGCCTGAAGCTAGCTATGTTGGTTTATACAACACAGCTCTTGTAAATCTGCACACAGAGAAGGAAGATGGCCCTGCTTTCCTAGTTCAGATTACGTCCTGCAGCTGAGCTTGGCAATAAAGGATTGCAATGAGTTCATGTACTCTGTAATTCATTTTCAATACTTCCACTGTGTCAAAATTACAGGACTAATTCGAATCTATGCCTTTGATTTACCATGTCTACATTAGCAGAGAATGAACATATCAGAGTTATCTATCTATTTCCCTTCTTCTACCTAATTTCTATTCCGGGAACTTTAGGTCAGATCCATTATAATGCAGGAATTCCCATTGGTCCCACTATAAGCTGTCCTCTGGTTCCTTAATATCATTCACAGATCTCAGTAGGATAAACAAAGGAAGAGCATGTGCTTCTCGTGGATTATTTGGTTTGTGATCAAATACACAGTACATTATGAGGAACTGTTAATGACATAAACAGTAAACACATTTTGTGAAAGACTATGTATTTAAAAATAATATTTAACCCTTACAGATTGAATTGTTGGCCCTCTTGTTATCTAGCTTTTTTTTTTTTTTTTGTAAAAGTAGTGTTGAGATGTGGAGATATTAATGCACTTCCTCCCGACATGAAATACTAAATTTCACATCTGTGTTTTTAACACATTCAGTCTTCTGCTCTATTCTCTCCATAGGTGTCATATGTCAAAGCGATTGACATCTGGATGGCTGTGTGTCTGCTCTTTGTATTTTCTGCACTTTTGGAGTACGCAGCTGTAAACTTTGTGTCAAGGCAGCATAAAGAACTTCTACGATTCCGCCGCAAGAGGAAGAAGAACAAGGTAAAAGTAACAGTGTTCACGACTTTGAAAAAGAGTCTGAGATTGATTTATGCCAGGATATAGGGTTAATTTGGTAAACATACTGCAGCTTAAAGTGGCAGTATAAATAAAATGGCAGCACAGAATGAAATTCACTGTCGGCAGAGGGTCACTACAAGGACTATGCACTGCACAAATGCAACTTGAATTCTCGAAAGAGGGATTAAGAGGGATTTAAATGAGACATAGGCCATGTGGGAGCCATCTGCACAAGCATGAATTTCACTCTGTTAGAAAAGTCAGATTATACTTCAGTGGATGAATGTTACTGGTATTTCCAGCAGTTTGTACTACATTGAGATGCAACAAATAATATTTCTAAATTTCATTCTAGAATTCAGTTCAAAGCCTTTAAAGTTGTGTTTCATGTAAGTATTTTTCTAATACAAAAAATACTTATTCAATTAATATTATTGGTGGAAGAACAAACATTTTACTTTAAAAGGCTGAGAAGTTGAGGTTTTTCCTCCTTCTGTCATGTTAATTTAGTGTAAATTGTTAATATAACTAGCAGGAAACTTTAGTTCAGCAATGTCACTACCAATGTGCAAGTCAAACAGTTAAGGATACAGGCTTGAATTCTGAAGTCTGCAGTTAAACCAAGCAATAAGCAAAATTTCTTACAACAATATGTAATTCCTACTTTGTATTTTTCAAAGAGAATATATTTCTCCAACCTATTCCTTAAATGAGTACCCACCACTGATGTCATGCAGACCCTTCCCACTGGCTTTCAGTCACTATCTAGAATATTACTCTGGATGTAAGTCTGATTGTAGCGACATGACTCAGTTCAGCCATCTTTCATTCCTGAAGATTTGACTCCATTTACTGCTTACATCACAAGAAGATGTTTTACAGGTTGTTTCCTTTTTACTTAGAAAATATTGAAACTCCATAATGCTGTAAAGCCCACTTAATCGTAGAGTCATAGAATGGTTTGGGTGGGAAGGGACCTTAAAGATAGTCTAGTTCCAATCCCCCTGCCATGGGCAGGGAAATCCTCCACTACACCAGGTTGCCCAAAGTCTCGTCCAGCCTGGCCTTGAACACTTCCAGGGATGGGGCATCCACAACTTCTATGGGCAACCTGTTCAGTGCCTCGCCACCTTCAGAGAGTATGTGAGGAGGGATCTACAATACACAAAGCACTTCCAAGAGAAAATCACTTAAAAACTTATGCACATGAATAGTCTCATTGACATAAGTGTTTTGCTGGATCAGTGCTTGACATCATGGTATTTTTGAATTCACATTTGAAAGTCCTTATTCTAATTTTACACTTCAATAGACAGAGTTCTAGCTTCTGGTAGGTTGCCTGCTAGGTTCTCATAAAACTCGGGGATTAGATTTAGAAACTGCAAGGTCTATAGTAAAGTATCAAGTAATCTCCTTAGGTTCTGAAAGATGAAGACACGCATTTCAATGCTTTTCTTCATAACATACCCAGGTGAGGGTATTTGGGAGCATATGGCTTTCCCTGTATCTGTACGTTTCATCATGAGACAGGTTTCTCAGCCTAAATTTACTAAGAAAAGCTTTATTCCCATGCAAAGTTATGATTTTGACAAATAGACATTTTTCTGAAAAGATTGACTTAACTGAACATTTCTTGACTGACTCCAATTCTACGTAGAGCTAGAGCTCCTAGGCAGAGTCAACCTTTGAGAATACACCTTCTCAAGCTCTAGAGACAGCTCAGCTAATTGCTTCTCTTTTTCTCAATGTTTTATTAAACCATTTCTTGCCCAACAAGGATACCAGAACTTGAAATGTTACAGCATGAAGATTTTACTTCTTCAAAAAATTGGATCACATCCTGTATCCTTTGGTACACAAATAATAAACGATGTTAAAAGAAAGCAGTTAATAATCAGCCCTCCTAACCACAAATGTTATTATTTATTCACCACAATTTCTAACATGAAATGCAGGCCCTAGAATCATAAGTCAAATTAACTTGTGTTTCCTTCCTCTTTGGTCTTTATCAAAGTCAGTTACTATAGCTTATTACTACAAAGTTCTGTATGTGTTTGGTATCCCTTCGAAGTAGGTCAAACAGCCACTGGTGCTCAGGAATTAGATTGTGTTGAGTTTTAAAACTACCTTGTATAATGAAATGTTCATTTGACCACAAAGTCAAAAGATGAAAAGAAGTTAGGTTAAAAGGCTATGTACAAAATAAACTTCAGCAGTTTCCTCCTACGTTAAATCCTCCTTCTTTTCACAGTGAGAACTGTTATTCTGTTCAGTATTTATGTCCAAACAGATCAGAGAAATAAAGCAGTTAGGATAACTTATTAGACATTTTCATCCTATATGCTTATCGGTTGAGACATTTTACTAGGATTAGGTTTTTCATCCAGGTGAATTCCAACTGCTGAATATAGAATTTTTTGGCATTGACATTTTATCTGCAAGGGTACAGCGAAATTCCTAGTGATCTGACTATATGCAAGTCGAAAAATAGATGGTTTTGGAAATGTTTCGTTTCAGGTATATGCTGACAGAAAAGAATATGTATGAATAACATCATTTTCTTTGTAATTAAAAAGACATGCTTGTTGCAAGAAATATTTACTTTTGCCAAGGAACCCCACTAATGGTCAGAATTGAATTTCAGTGCAGGAATACTCTTGGGAGGTAAATGAATCTCTTTTCCTGACCTAAGTCAAAATCAGTTACACCTAATTCATCCCAGACATAAAAACTCCACAAGTTCCCCTGCAATCTATTCCACTGGTTTAGAAAGTTTTTAAGTCATGCCTTTGTCAGCCTCTCATGACTTGTGTAGAAGGGGCACAGAGAACAGACTACTTCACTCCTTTATGTAGGCATTTGCACATTTCCATTCAGTCTTCTTTTCTTTAAATATTCCTGTTTGGTACAGCCTTTTTTTTAATTTTCTCATTCTCATTCTCCTTCCCTGGAAATTCTCCTAATAAGTCCATACAATTCCTCAAAACTGTATTTGCACCTGATTTTATACTGACACCTAGCCAGTAACAGATGAGAGCAGCTGAAGGATCACATCATGCAAGTTATATACTTGTTTATACAAACCAGTTTGCCATTTGCCTTTTTAACAGCAGCATGGTATTGACTCATACCAAGATTGTGACTTTCCATAACTCCCAGGTCTTTTTCCAGAGCTACTGCAGATCCATTCACTTTCCATCTTACGTTTGTGAAGTTGATTATTCCTGGCTAAATGTAGTACTGTGTATTTGCACCTACCAACTCTTCTCCTGTATTTTTCAGACTCTTTGTCTAAATCATTGAATTTAATTTTAAGTTTAAACATATCCTCAAGCAGTTTTTCCCAGGTTGGAGTCTTTCGTAAATTTAATCAAAACTATGGGATATTCTTCCTCAATGTTGATTAAAAACACAGGACAACTGAAATATCTCCTTTAAAAAGTATATGATCAGACTCGGATAAAACCTCTGCAGTAAACGAGTGTAGCAAATGAAATAAGAGCTGCTCAGTTTTATGAAAAATCATACAGTTATAGAAAATGTAATTATATACAGAGCTGTATCAAGACATTTTGGCATCCAAAGCCCATCTATCCTTGCCATTTTCCTTATGCTTTTTCCATCTATAGTTGCCTTTCTTACACCATCTAGTACATTTACAGCCTCCCTTCCCATAAAACAGTAACGGCAGCATCAAAAGTGATTCTTACGTATAACTGCACCCTCTGGCTACTGTTTTTATGGTTGTAAGTATGGACCTCAGTCAATGATCCCAGATAACTGAAAGGTAAATTTCTTTTCAGAGGCTCAATCCAATTTGCACAGAATTGACAAAAATTTTGAAATGTCTAGAACTGTGGTATAAATACATTTAAAAATAAAAACTGTTATTGCGACATAATATGCAACCTAATCATTGCTCTTTTCCTACAGACATCACAACAGGCATAAGAGATTTTTCAAAAAGGATCTCTTTTCTTTATGATTACACAAACAGCATAATGAATCCAGAGAAGAGGGGAATTTTGGTTCCCAATTTGAGACCTTATTTGGCAGTCAGTATATGATCCATAGCACTTTGTCAGAGAAAGAAATTTGGCTAATGAACACAACTATTTCACAAATATTACATTGCTAATGTGATGGAAACATTCCTTCAGAATGAATTAATAGTAATTATTCATTTACAGTTACACTCCTTTCAGTCTTGAAAGACAAAAGGAAAAAATGGCAGATTTAGAAGTTATACAGGGATACTGAAACATACCTATGATCGGTGCTTTTTCTTAGTTACATTTACACTGTGCAGGGAAAAACATTAACTGTACGTATACTGAAAAACACTTGGATTTTAGATTAACTTTTAATATATTTAGTTTTCAGGAATAGTCAATCTTTTAATTCTATTTTCAAAAATCTAAAGATCACTGTATCTTTAGTAAGGAAAATAGACATGCAAACTAGAGTGTCTTTAATGGTAATCACACCTCTTTTCTTTTGTTTTCTTTTTGGTCAACCCACCCATTTTGATGAAAGTATTTTGAGGGAGTTCTTGATGGAAATGAAATCAGTGAATCATTGCAGCATAGCAATGGCTTGAGATGTGCAGGACCTATAGACGGGACTTTGCCTCAAATCTACAGTACAAATTTAAGGGTAAACTATGAAGAAGATGTCCCATTTGTCATAATGTGATTTCCAGTCATTAATAGAGGCCCTGTCCTTTTGTCTGAAATAATGTCTTCCCATGTGAACTCCATATACCTTCATTGCTACCTGTATGTGATGACGTGAAGTGTTACTAAAGGTATCTGTCTTGTTAATTTTGTAATTTGATCTGTTTAAATCTGGATTAAAACATAATATTAAAATTTTACTTTCTGCAACTTCAAAGGAACAATGACATTAGTTCAAGGAGAAATCCATTGCTACCAGATCAGCATTTAAAACCAAGCTGTTTGTAGTGTAAAATAACTTTTTTTTTTCTTCTCAAAAATAAACAGTAAAAAATATAGTGTTCAATTAGCAAAGCCAAGGCTTCAAATCAGTCTTCAAGCTGTTACCACAACCTACAGTGGAAAGGCTAAAGAGATATTTTAAGCCCCTATACATATTACTCACCAAGAGAAATATATTATTACATATATGGACAGAAAACAGCATAGTCACAAGGCCACGAAAGCTGACAGCTTTCTGATTCTTTATAGCTAAGTATTTTGTAGAACAACACTTATACAAAAACAAACTAATCAAAATTATTTCCTTCAGGTCTCCAAAGAATGCTAACTTTCTAAATAAAAGTTGTTAGCTAAATTTATTTCCTATCTTTATTTACAGTAATTTGAATAAAGATGGTAAAATATTTATATGTAGCTGTAGGCAGAATAACTTTCAAATTGTTGATTCCAAAGCCATATGTGTAAAAAGCGCATTCATATTGAGCCTTTATTAAAGTTCATTCAGAATAAGATTTTAAAAGCTTTATCAAAAATCAATAAGAAATCATTCATTTTCTTTTCTTATCATTAGTGATGACGCACTAATCAAGTACACAAAAGACACACACACATAAAAAGCTTACTAATTACATTTTAAAAAAAATTCAACCAAAATATAGGATTTTTTGAGAAAGAGTCACTGTCCAGAATCTCAACAGGGGCATATAGGGTACTTTCACTACATAATTTCAACAGCTGAAGACTCAGACACGTGCATTATGAGAAATATTTCTAGTCAAAAAGAGGGACTGTAGCCAAGTCAATTGATAAAAACAAAGAGGGCGTCACTGATATTTTATAAAAATGCCTTTGAAAAAGCACTCAAAAGTTAATATCAATAATAACAGTAACTGCATGTTTCCTGCTGTGCACGAGCACTCTCAGATGTGAACCTGAGGCCAAATTTATTATTTTTGTATATTATGAACTTGCCGGGAAATTTGCAGAACCACATGTTGGATATTCCAGCTGGTAGCGTAGAAAAAAATTATGGAGGTACTTGACATGTTACAATGCTCTGGAAGACGCTCTTTCCTGCATGTCCATTAGCCCTAGCACTTTGGTATGACTTGGCATGTTCCAGCCATCCTGCCTGTCCTCGTGGTTTCAGGTAAGCATAGAATAGAGACAGTAAATCCTAGTATATAGTGCTTCATCCTGAAACCATAGCCAACTGGAAGCTGCGACTCAGAAGAATTATTTTATTATCTTTTTGAGCCTGTGCAATCATAAGCATTATTTTCTGGAAAAGCATGAAAAGATTTAAATGCTGAATTGTACATATGAAGACAAGTTTAGTGTAAATTCTCACAGTCCTTGTATTTCTAACTTCTGTTAAGGGAATACAACACTACAAAACTTCAATATGACTACTATAAATATGTTGTTTCCCATTCTTTTCTGACAGGAGAGAAACATTATTGTAGTAATTGGACCTTTGTTTTATCACGTCATCAAATAACAATCCTATCATTATTTATTTCCGTTATTCATTTCCATAGTGAAGTCAGTGATTTTTCCTCCTCCTTTTCTTTCATGTTAATTTTCCTTTAATTTTTTTTTGTTTTTATAGGAGAATTCAAACATAGATTTGAAATATAGCAGTTTTAGTGAACTGTATTACTCTACAAGTTCATTCAATTTACAGATATGAAAAAGTATTGCAGTTGGGTGATAACTACAGAAGCTGGCTGATAACTGCAGCTCTGCTAGATGCTCATGCTAATTGCCAACTAGTTCACTTGAAACTTAGTAGTTGATCCACATTCTTTTGTAGATAAATTACTCAACTAATATTGATGATAAACATGATTGGAATTTTTTTAAACAAAGTAATTAACAATGGTTCTTCTAGCAAATACTACTTAATTGAAACTTTAAATATGTTGAGAATTAAATCTCCTTTCCAAAACATTTTTAGATTTTCCAGATGTCATAGGCATTTTCAAAATGAAAAATGTGAAAGTTTGAATTTAAAGTTTGTTTATTGAGAAATTACATCTCTTGTAATTCCTTGTAAGAGGTTTAAATAAAACAAAAAAACTTCAGAATTCTTGAACTGAAACACTAATTATTTTACTTCTTTTAGTAAATATGTTTTTTTATCCTTTTATTTTAATTTCAGTTAGGAAGAGCTTCAAAATATCAAAAATTCTCTTACAACAGGAAAATGGACTGTTACTCAATTCTTTTTTTAATGCTTATGGAAATTTCTTTCCAAAATACTTATTTAAGAAATAATATATACATAATACTTTGTCATGTTTCATAAAAGTCTAGAATCTTAATACAACTAGGCTAATTAGACATCCAAAATAGGAAATCCTTAATTTAAAATCAAAATTTAAAAAGTTGTGAATGCCATCAAAATCACGTGACTATCATTGAGTAGCATACATAGTGAAGGAACACACTGGAATATATTTCAGAACCAAACTTGGCCCCGGCTTCACAGTCTATGTATCGTTTATTTTCCTACATTTGTAACTCCTTTGTTACTTGAGAATACCTACAACCAGCTAAAGAGAAGTACAAAGAGTGTCTCCAGATAGAAGCCACATTCTTGAAATGCATTCTATGAAAATACGTATATCTTCAGACCATCTACTTTTGTTTCTGTGCCATGTGATTAAAAACCATTTTCTCTTATAGCTGCCTGAATTCAAAATGTATTTTTCAGTTTTCTCCTGAATCGACATAAGAATGAGTCAGAAGAAAAATCTGGCCTTAACTTTCATTCCCTTAATTTTAAATTAAGACACTTTACATACTATTATTTTTAACTGTTATATTCATAGGGAGCCACAGAAACAAGGCATACAGATAACTGAATAACTAAATATACAATGACCAAATAGGCAGAATTCTCACTAGTATGATTAACGTGAACATCATTACTGCTTGTATGAGTATCTCTAGAAACCAGGATTCCATTTCCTCAAACAATGTACAGACCTAATGGCTGTTGTCTAAAAGACCAGTGAGAAGTTTGCCCAGTTGAAGACTCTGCATATTTACTGTAAATCGAGAAAATCAAAACGAATCAGAAATTGTGTGCCTGATTACCAGTAGTTTACTAAGCTTTCTCTTTTCTCTAAATAGATTACAGAATCTATAAACAAGTAGGAAAATTCTGTGCTTGTTAAAGCTGCTGCAATATTTTTGACAGACACTATAGGGCTGAAATTTCAACCATTTAAGATAAACTGTGGCTTCAAGAAGGCACTGAGGTAACGATGCAATATTTGTTATTTAGCAGCTGATAACATTTCTGTAAATAAATAAAAAAAAACTTCTTGTTTTTGTTCTTTTTCTTTTTTTTTTTTTTAACAGGATGATGACGTAAGAGAAAGTCAGTTTAGCTTTACAGCATATGGAATGGGCCCATGTCTGCAAGCAAAAGATGGAGTGACACAAAAGGGGCCAAATAACCCTGTTCAAGCTGCCCCAAAAAGCCCTGACGAGATGAGAAAGGTATTCATTGACCGGGCCAAGAAGATAGACACAATATCCAGAGCTTGTTTCCCATTAGCCTTTCTGATTTTCAATATTTTTTACTGGGTAATTTACAAAATCATCAGGCATGAGGACATTCACCAATAACAAGATTAAGGCTTTCAGTACACACTGGCTGCCATGTTCAACAGGAGGCTTTCTGTTAGAAATGTGCATCGGAGGAGTGATTGGGAGAGTTAAAAGCATTGAGGTGTGGGGCAAAGGATCCTGCATGACTGAAATGCCCAGTCACAGCGGAATGGAAGAATGACTCCCAGAGAAGATACATCTGCTATTGCAAACTTTCTGTGTCAAACTAAATATTAACAACTTTTTCATTGTAAATCACTCTCTACTGAAGCTTTACTGCCAGTATTTATACATACTGTTACATAGTGGTATAATTGTACAATACTCTTTGATGTTCCTTATTTTTTTTTTATTCTGGTGTATTTTTAATTTAAAAAAAAAAAAAATGGATCCTGAATACCCTAGGTAAATCCCACAGTATTACAGAATAGATTAGTATTTGTAACCTTTATTTCAATTTTACAAGATAATGACAAATTACTGATTTGAGATTACAGTTTTAAGGACTTTTTCTTGTCTTAAGGACAGCACCTGTGGTTTTGCAATAAGCACATTTGACACATTTATGTTATATAATTTATTCAATGTACTTTATATTACCATTCCCCTAGAAGGTGTATGTTGAAATAATCTCAGATAGCACAAGGTGTCTACAGCCTAATAGTCTGCACATCGCATAGGAAATATATTAAAATTTGTAAAATATTGATTTCTGCAAAAAATTTTTTTCTTTTAATTACCTACACTTTGATAATTGATACTTATAATATTTTTTAATAGCTTTGATATTTTTGAAGAAGTTTTTTTCTCAATTGATAAAACTCATATAGCTTGCGAGATAGACAAAGTAGATCAAAATTTTGCGATGCTTCATTTTGATTCAATGCAAAGAAATCTTGGACCAAAACTAAAAGTAAATAGTCAACTGTTTCACTGAAACATTTGGAGGATGAGTACAGCTGTGTTTATGCACATTTATCTCCTACATGTTGCATAAATACAGAAAGTTTAATTTATTAATATATCAAGCTTTCTGGCTCATTCTTTGAAGTATACTGATATGACTCATATGATATAGTGTGACCAGCAGGAACAGGGAAGTGATCCTGCACCTGTACTCGGCACTGGTGAGGCCGCACCTGGAATATTGTGTCCAGTTTTGGGCCCCTCGCTTTAAAAGAGATATTGAGCTCCTGGAGCGAGTCCAAAGAAGGGCGACTAAACTGGTGAAGGGGCTGGAAAATAAAACTTATGAGGAGCGGCTGAGGGAGTTGGGGCTGTTTAGCCTGGAGAAGAGGAGGCTGAGGGGAGACCTGATTACAGCCTACAAATACTTGAGAAGAGATGATGGGGAAGTGGGAGAGGGGCTCTTTACATTAGTGATGGGTGATAGGACAAGAGGAAATGGGTATAAGCCTAGTTAGGGGAGGTTCAGGTTGGATGTTAGAAAGAATTTCTTCTCTGAAAGGGTTGTCAGCCACTGGAATAGGCTGCCCAGGGAGGTGGTTGAGTCCCCATCCCTGGATGTGTTTAAGAAAAGGGTGGATGAACTCCTTAGGGACATGGTTTAATGGGGGATTAGGGACGGTTGGACTCGATGATCTCGAAGGTCTTTTCCAACCTAGAAATTCTATGATTCTATGATTCTATGACTTAGATCTTGGTTAAGAGGCACTTCACAACTTTGGAAAAACATGCAGCTCTTCTGACACGTGAAAAATGATTTGGATGGTCTTTTACGTTTATTATACTTCACATTAATAAATAGGAGAACAACTGTTAAAACTCTTAGATTTTCCTTATTTAGGATTAAATAAGTCATATTAGTTGCTTCTTTGAATTGTAACACAATAGATCACATTTATAGCATAGTTTGTAGGCAAGAATATTTACTTTTACCAATCTTGTCTACCTAAAAACAAAAACATGTTAAGATATGGAAATCTGACATTTAGAATTACCAGATATTTTAAGTCCAGTAGTTGAGGCTGTTTCTCATTGCAAAATATTTTTATTTTGAACATGTTTTAAATTTTTTGTTTGTTGTTGCTCAGAATGTGTATACAAAAGCAAAACCAGCTGGAGGCAAACATCTGGTGCACTGCCAAAGGCATGGTGCATATGAAGTAACAGAAGCAACACAGTTCTACACTGAGGATTATAACATCGCAAATTTGGTTGGGTTTGTTGTTGTTTTCCTCCAAGGATTAGTTAGAGATATTCTAAAATAGTAGCTTTCAGGTTTTGTTCAGCAGTGTCAGAAAGAGACTGTATAATCCTCCTTTATTTTAAAATAGTATTTTTATATAATTCTCCTTCATTTACGATCTAAAATGAATTCAATTCACTTTAAACAATTATTGTTTGCTGAGGCTGTGTCCTGGTTTTGTTGATTTCTTTATATGCATGTTCGAAAAAATCCTGTTCACTTACAAAGGTGCTCATCTGTGTGAGAGGGTATCATGAACTAATGGCTGACATGTCAGTTGAGTTATATTCATCTCTCTAAAGTTATCATTAGCTGTATCGCATGAAAAGGGATGTTACCTTGCTTCTGTTATCAGTAAAGTCAACAGTATTTTAAGGACTGTTTGAAGTACTGGATCTATAATCAAGAGGCAAACATAAAAAATTATATTATCTTTCAAGCTCATCTCTCTTCTTTCCTTCTAAAATATTTGACTTACATTCAATAAAGAATTCTTAATTGGAGAGGTAAGTACATAAAAAAATGCTGGCCAGATCAGAATAACTCCTAGATATTCCAGTTTATAACACTTGAGTAGTTGGTTCATATTGCCTCTCTCCCAATCATTCAGTAGTCTGTTTCTCTCACATATGAAGTACTACCTTTTTTTAAAAAAATTACAGATTTGAGTAATGCAGAGCTAAAGAAATTTAGCCGCAATTTCTTTCCTCACTCTTTAAGGCAGAAAAGGTCTATGCTCTCAAACAGAAAAATCAGAGAAGATATCTCGAAAATGATAAAAGAGAGATTGGATTGCCACACTGGCAAAATGTAACAGAGTCAGAAGGAATAAGCAAGAAGGACAAGATCCTTCATTCATATATGAACCTGTTACCTCAGTGAGGGGCAATAACCCTTGTGCCACATTTCTCCTTGACTAGAGTATGGTAATCTAAGGAAAGATTGCGGCATATAGCATATATAAAATAAAAAGCATAAATCTTCATAATAATTTTTTCTGACCTTCCTAATGGATTGTACCTATATGTTCTATTTAAAATAAATGAGATCTGTAGATTTAGTGACTGGACTTAGTTCCTAGTGTTGCCTCTCAAGATGCATCTCTTCAGCCATACACTATGCTGAGAGAGAAGAGGACGGTCTCAGACCTGGCCAATGGAAAGTATACCCCTTTCTCTATGTAGTTAGATTTCTCTTTCATAGGCTGTTACATTGGGAAGTTGAGCATACTCTACTTCTATACTGAAAATTTACATATAATGCTCAGTCTTCTAACAGGAAACATTGAAAACAAATTAAATATGTTTAAAACATCTTTATGAAAACTCTACAGTGTTACTGGAATATTTTTTTATTTAGTAATCCATTAATAACAAAAGTATTTCGGAGGGGAAAAGCAAAAAATGATTCCATTATGCTGTTTTCAAATGCATATAACGTTTGGCATGTCATTCTGCTGCCCTTGGGTAAGGAAAGATTTTCTACTTTGATGTAATGAAACCAAAATATCTCCTGAATTGATGATTTGTGGTTTTTTACTGGAACCATAACATTTGCCAAGGTAACAGAAGCCTCTGCGATCCACTAAATAATGTGTTTTTCAAAAGAAAGCAGAATTGAATTCTATGAATTTAGAATTTAAATTTCATTTAGATTATTTTCTAAATTACTTTGTGTAAAGTCGCATGGTAAAGAAAGAGAGAAAGATCATTTCAGATTATAAGAAACTTCAAGGCACAAATGTCTGCTATTCACCACTGAGTAGAGGAAAAGTTCAAAATGCCAACAGGCGTGCCAGCCCTCTGTACAAAGCTAGAACCAACAGCTACTGTCATCAGCTAAGGTTAGTGTGGGAGATGATTCTTTAGTAACTGTAATGAAGTGGCAGGGAACAACATTAAGAAGATGCAAAAATTGAAAGGTACTTTGCAGTATTTATCAGACTGCAAAGTCTGTAGTAAATACTGTAGTATTTATACTACAGTCCTGTGAAAGAGGCAGAAAAATCATCATCAAGGAAATAATGCTTGTTGCAGATACTACCTAGCAGGGCTTCTCCTACATCTTGAAAAGATTCTATTCATTAGGCTGAAGTATGTAGCTATCTCACCTCACTATCCCTGAACCTCAGCTCTGCAGCTTACAGGTCCTTTGCAAAGCCACAGAAGTCTTCTGTAAACACAAACCCTATGTGACAGGCTAATGCAGCTTTGCCCCAAGTTGTTATTCACCATAGGTGCAGACTCTGTGCTGTTCAGGTCATGTTTTTGTGGTCTCTGTAGACCAGCTCTATATTTCAAAAATAAAATATTGGCACTAGAAGACCACTGCAATACAATGAAAGCAGAAGGAGAAACTAGGATCTGAAGGAATACTCCAGTAACACACGTACCAAAGCTGACAGAGCCACCATAAAGGGGAAAGAAGAAAGTATGAAGCATCCTTACTACTTTTCCCCATCCCCTAGTATCCTCTCCATAGATACACTTGTTCAGGTAGAAGCAGTAGCTGCAGAGGGAAAAAACTTACGTCAACTGCAGCAAAGTACATATTGTCTTGGGATAATAGTTTCTACCTGTGTGGACAGAGAACTGACTTCCACACTATCCACTTTCTGAATGGAAACAGAAGCTGAGCAGGAAGGTACAGGGTGAAAAGCTTGGGCTGTACCTAGCATAAGAGGGACCACAGGGAGAGAGAAAGTCCAAAGCAGTGCCTGAAATCTCATAGGACTGACTGTCCTTCTTGCACGAAAGAGAGAGATGTGGCCAAATCCATGTCATCCGTCCTAAGGCAAAAAATTTCAGAA